TATGAAAAAGGTACCAGGGGCATCTCATGGGGCCCCCTACTGACCCCGGGCCCTCGGGCAGTGCCCGAGTTTCCAAATGATCAGTCCGCCCCTGATCACTGGGTATGCTCTGCTGCAAATCGCTCTCCTAAGCCAAGTGGTGATCGATGACAAACAGCACTGTGAGTGGCTTAGTGATGTCACAGAAAATAAAAAATAACTCATCTCCCTAGCGGGAAACCACCTAAAGCTGAACTCCAGCCTTCTTGCAGAGTTGTGCAGTCTCCTCTCTTGTACTGAAATTGCTTCCTCTGCTTTCACTGCACACTGTGAGAAGCTCACAGTGTGCATTAGAAGCTGCAGCAAGAAAGATTGACCCACCTCATTTCCGGACTGGGGGACCTCCAGCATCATCTAGCTCTTTTCACCCCAGGCGTACTGCCCCTGTAAGCCCCATTCATTCACAGGCTTTCAGTTCTTTCAATCAAGGAAGCTCAGCATCAGCTGTGAGTGTTATCTAGGGCAGCCTGCATGCATATTCAGCCTGTCTAGGAATACCCACTTCTCCACATTGACGCCTGCTCATGAAGACATTTTGATATTTGCATAACTCCTCTCACTGAGAGGAGCCAGAGGCAGGCTGCTGTGTAGTTTATAGGAAGCTATGCAGAGCACCCTGCTGGCCCCTTGTACCAGCCCTGATCTGCCTGTATTGCATAGAGAAGCACAGAGATGATGTCACTGAGTATAAAACAAGTTAAGTAATGTAAACAGAATGGTTTTGTTTAAGAAAGCAATCAGTGGGGGAGATTTACTAATGCCCCGTACACACGATAAGAAAATCATCCAAAACATTTTGTGGAACCACTGATCGAACGATTTTCTCTTCGTTGATGAGCAGGATGTTTTAACTGATAACAGATCAAAAACAGATGAAACTTCAAGTCAGAGAAAACAAAAATCTTCCATGACAGTGGAGCTGCTCAGTTTATGTTTAGGGTACTGAAATAATCGCTTTTACCTACCCCATCCCCCAACAGTCCATGTTCCCCTTTGATCTGGCCCTGGTACACACCAGTGCGACTTGTCCTGTGATTTGACAAGTCGCACCCTATTGTGGGCAATGGAACCGATGGAATCAGCACCACTCTGACTTTGTGGTGCCGCACCAATTTGAAAAGAATGTTTCTGCACTATTTTTTTGCGATTTGAGGTGCGACTTCCATAGACATCTGTACATAAAGTCACACAGATGTCTGCCAAGTTGCACCTGAAGTCGCACAGACATGTGGCTTTGAAGTTGTGCAACTTCAAGTGAAGTCGCACGATTTCAAAGCGTGATCCAGTGTGAACCAGGGCTTAGACTGCCCCTTGGCCACCTCATGCCCAATGTGGGGCTATGGGCATTGGTCCTGATGACTTCAAAATGACTGCTGGAGCATGGAGGAGGCTGACTAGCGAAAGTGGAAGATCAAGCAAAGCTGGCCATACACTGTGTAAAGATTCACACTAATACGGTGCTGGACACCGCATGTAATTCACGCAGGACACGCTCCGCATTCCTGTGCCAATTACATGCAATGTCTGTGCGCTGCGATTTCAGCTATACATTTTGTATGGCTCAATTCACATTGCATCTGCGCCAAAAAGATGCAGGACCCTTTTTTTATTTGCACTTGAATCGCATCCATGCAATGTGATTTCTGGCAATCGCATTTTGCAATCTGTTTTGGGGTGTCATTATTTTAACATTGACACCCGCACCAGATCATATGAATGCGATTGCAATGCGGTGCGGGAAACGCACAGGGTTTGCAGCATTTCCCGCACAGCATTGGTGTAAACTTGGGCTTAATGAAACCTGGCTGCTCTAGCAGGACCGGCACAAAGTCAAAGAGAAATGCAGGAGAACGTTTCCCAAACAGCAGCTGCAGCCAATCATCAGTGTATTCTGACAGTCGCAGGTGTCACTGTCAGAATACAATGTCCTGATGGGGTGGGATTCCCCCATCCACATCACTTGCGTGGATCCTGCTAGTTTTGGATCTGGATAAACGAAAAAAAAAAAAAAAAAACCCACTAACAATGTAAGCCCGGCTTAAGTCTCTTAAGGTCTTCTCCTGCCCCCCCCCCAGATCTAAACAAGCATTTAACCCTTGCAGTACAGACGCAGCCCCACTACAGGGGAGGATTTGTTATGGTATCTTAAAAAAAGGGAAGAGGATCACTGCCATTCAATCCCCCAACAGACACAGAGACAGCAATACAAATCTGACAAGGGTTCCAACCTCCTCACCACTCATACACAACTGCAAAAAAGTTGGAGCTGTCAAAAGGGCTCGTTCATCCCAGAACCAGTGTGGATTCCCAGACCATGTTCACAGCGAGTGTGCGATCTGCTGTGGGGGCCGTGTATTCCTAATGACAGCCCAAAAGCACATCACAAAAATTGCCTGCCCTGGATTGCATGGAACCTCGGTACCTTGAGATCTGGTTGCAGCGCGTTTTTGAAAACTAGTGCATGTACTACTTCTGGTGCGATCCAGACTGATTCCAGCCCATTCCAATGACTGAGCTAAAAATGTGCCATGCGATTCTGGTGTGAACTGGTCCTAACACCCCAATGTGATGCCTGGAAGGGTCACCATATGCTACAATCTGACCGTACAATCAACTTTACATCTACTGAACCATGTCATAGGAGGTTCTGCCTAAACCAGTGGTCTCCAAATTGTGGCCCGGGGGCCAAATGCGGCCCTTTGCTTGCTTTTATCTGGCTCTTGGGATACCAATGAAAGGCATAATTCCTCCTAATGACATGATGGGGCATAGTTCCTCCCAGTGACACCAATAACGGGGTCTAATGACACCACTGATGGGGCCCAATACTTCCCAATGACATCAATGATGGGACCCAATACCTCCCAATGACCAATGATGGGGCCCAATGACAACAATGATGGGGCCCAATACCTCCCAATGACACCAATGATGGGGCCCGATACCTCCCAATGACACCAATGATGGGGCCCGATACCTCCCAATGACACCAATGATGGGGCCCGATACCTCCCAATGACACCAATGATGGGGCCCGATACCTCCCAATGACACTACTGATGGGGCCCGATACCTCCCAATGACACTACTGATGGGGCCCGATACCTCCCAATGACACTACTGATGGGGCCCGATACCTCCCAATGACACTACTGATGGGGCCCGATACCTCCCAGTGACACTACTGATGGGGCCCAATACCTCCCAGTGACACTATTGATGGGGGCCCAATACCTCCCAATGATGAGGCACAATTCTTCCCAATGAAACCACTGATGGGGCCCAATACTTCCCACTGTCATACAATGATAGAGGATTGTTGACTCCCACTGATGGGGCCCAATACCTCCCAATGACACTAATGATGGGGCCCAATACCTCCCAATGACACTACTGATGGGGCCCAATACCTCCCAATGACACTACTGATGGGGCCCAATACCTCCCAATGACACTACTGATGGGGCCCAATACCTCCCAATAACACTACTGATGGGGCCCAATATCTCCCAATGATGAGGCACAATTCCTCCCAATGACACCACTGATGGGGCCCAATACCTCCCACTGTCATACAATGATAGGGGATTGTTGACTCCCACTGATGCTGGGACATTTTGTATACCTGTCGGCCACAGTCCAGCCCCCCTAAAGACTGAAGTACAGTAAACTGGCCCTTTGTTTAGAAAGTTTGGAGACCCTTGACCTAAACCATCCAATCACACACAGACCCTTGCACTACGTCCATATTGGTACGTCCAACAGAGATTGTACAATCGGATTGGACCGTGTCACTATGATCTCTATCCTGGGTGGGTGTATGAAGGGAATGGCACCCACGGCCAATGAGCACTCACCCACGGTGGCCACGGTGTCGAAGTCGTCCAGCTTGTACTGAGGTTGGAGATCCGGGCAAGGCGGCGAGCTGTGGCCACACACGCTAAGTCCGAGGCACCCCGGGCTGGGGCTGGCGACTCCGCCATCGCAGCTGCCCTTTCCGCCACTTCTGGAGCCAGAGGTGGCTTTGGCCGTCCCGGCGGCGATGGCGGTGGCTCCTTCCATCTCAACCGTGTTCAGATCAAAGCTACAGTAAGCTGCAGGTGAGATTCTCCTACAGGGAGTCAGGGAGCCCCCAGGGGGCGCACAGGGCACAGCGGCTCACTCCTGCTCTGGCCAGGTGGCATTGCCAGTCATCAGTCTCCCATCTCTCATTGTGTCTGGGCACTGCCAGGGGGACACGGATGGAGGGAGGCACCGAGCTGCTGCTGACAAACGTGCTGCTAGGCAGAGCGGGACACAATGGAGCCCTCCGCCGTCCTGCTCATCACAACTCTCCTCAACTGACCCGCAGCCCCGCTGTCACCCGGCCGGCCCCTCGCTGCTCACTCACTACTATGGGCGGCTGACGTAGAAGAAAGGAATGGGGAAGAGGCTCGCTTGTCTCCCCGCTCCAGCCGTTCGCTCAGGGAAATCCTGCAGCCTCGGCTCCCTTTAGACGTGACTGTGTGCTCCACCTGCTGGCCGCTGGGTGCTGCTGGCTGGGAACACATTCTCATTAGACAGCAAGAAACTTCTTAACCACTTGTCCTCCAGAGGATCGACCCCTCCCTCCGAGCTGGACATGTATTGCCTTTCTGGTAGGGCTCGTGTACACTGCCGCTGATGAACTCAGGCTTTTCTCAGCAGCCCCTGAACAGGGGGGGACTGACAACTCATGGGCCCCCGGGCAATAGGGGATCATGGGGCCCCTGTGTCCTTGCCCAAACTCAAAAAAGCCTATGAAAAAAGGTACCAGGGGCATCTCATGGGGCCCCCTACTGACCCCGGTCCCTCGAGCAGTGCCCGACTTTCCAAATGGTCAGTCCGCCCCTGAACTCACCCTAATGTTTTCCTATGTGCCCATGTACACATCTTTGTTTACAGTACGTTACAGGCATTTGAGTTTACAGTCGGTTTTTGGAACGCAGAAAACTTGCATTCAGCAGTCGATTTTATCAAACGTAAAATGAGGCAAATCGCGTTTATAAGCGATTATATATGAATATTTTTTTAACTCTTCCAGTTCCCGTTCTGTCCAGAGCCTTTTTTCGTCATAAAAAATGTATGGAAAACGTTTTCAAGGTACTCAGATGGACAAAACACTGAACACAGGATGTTCCTACCAAGCTTGTCACACATTGTAATGACCAATTCACACCTCAGACCTCTCCCACCCTTGGAAACAAAAGATATGTTAATGACCATTCACACCTCAGACCTCTCCCACCATTGGAAACAAAAGATATGTTAATGACCATTCACACCTCAGACCTCTCCCATCCTTGGAAACAAAAGATATGTTAATGACCATTCACACCTCAGACCTCTCCCACCATTGGAAACAAAAGATATGTTAATGACCTCAAATTCCTCATGAAGACCCCCTGCTAGGTGACCTTAATCAGGACTTAAAATTTCAAGTCCTGAGCTACTAGCCAAGTTACTCGCCACCAACAAACACACACAAACAGAGACACATGTATACACACACAGGTAGGTACAGACACGTATACCCACAGATACATGTACATACACAGAAATACACACGCACAGACACATGTACACACAGACACATGTACGTACATACACACAAACACACACATATATATGCACACACACAGACGTACATACACACAGACACATGTACAGATACACACATGTACATACACACAGACACATGTACAATTGTACATACATACACACACACACACACACACACCCATAAAAAAGTTGCAGTGCTTCGTTGTTCACTCACAGATCCGGGTACTGCACTCTAGGGGGAGGCAGAGAGCACAGCACACACTCCTTGCTTTGCTTTCACTGCGCTCAGCTATTGAGCCGTCTGACGGCTCCCAGTGCCAATGACAGATCTGGCCTGAGCTCCGAGCCTGCTCAGCAAGACGGCCCTGGGGGACACACTCACCCCCACCATAATTTCCACTCGTCATTGGCGAGCAGGAGAGTGGACATTTTAAGCCCTGACCTTAATGACTCACTCCACCAGACACCTTTCCCACCCTTGGAAACAAAAGAAATGTTAAGGAGAAACTCACACCTAATTATCTCAACACATACTGCTGTCTCTGCTTCTACTCTCTGTATTTCCCTGAAACAGTCTGAAATAGTTCATAATTTACCACTTTTCAGTGCATTCTGGGCATTTGGGAGGTTCTCCTGTACTTATCTTTAAAAAACGCATCTAAACGCAAACGCAAACACTCATGAACGCGTTATGCAAACGTGGCTAAACAGGCGGTTTTTAACCTACTTTTCCAGCAGTCAGTTTCCATCGTTCAGAAGTGTCCCATATACATGGGGCCTTAGGCTAGGTTCACATGTCCGCACATTGTGGGCGGGTGGCGTGCCATTCCTTTGTGCGGGTGGACCGTGTGCCACTAGAATTAATGCATGGATTTTTATGCGGATTCACAGCGGCACTGTCCGCACAGATGTGAACCAGGAGTCAGATTCCGTTCACACCTATGCAGTTTGCTTTTTGTCCATTTTGCGGTGCTTTTCGCAGTTCGTTTTGCATTTTTCTACACGTGTTTTTGCCGCAATATTGCCCCGTTTTGCTCAGCTTTTCTTTTTTTTTTTTTTAAAGTGGAATTTTTTTTTTTGCTGGGCAAAATAAAAATGCCATATCACAAATTGCAGCAATTACCATGCATTTCAGCAGAATCTCCATTGAACTCTATTGTAGCAAAAATGCTGCTTTTTGCTTTTAAAAAAGTCCCTGCCCTTTCCAAAAATGCAGCAGCTCAAAAAAGCACAGATGTGAACATGTTCCACAGGAAACCATGTTAAATGGACTATAGTGCGTTTCTGCAAAAAGGGCATTGGTGTGAACGGAGCCTAGCTGACAACTGTGCGATCATGCAATGCTGTACATAAATAAAATTGATGTCATTTTTTTATTTTATGTCAAATTTATGTCATTTGTTTCCCACAAATAGAGCTTTCTTTCGGTGATATTTGAGCGCCTCTGCCTTTTTTATTTTTTGAGCTATAAACAAAAAAAGACTGACAATTTTGGAAAAAAAAATATTTTTTTATTCATAAAAATAAAATTGATGTAATTTTTTCCCACAAATGGACCTTTTTTTCGGTGATATTTGAACCCCTCTGCCTTTTTATTTTTTGTACTAAAAAAAGACCGACAATTTTGGAAAAAAAAAATATTTTTTTTCTTTTCTGCAAAAAACACTAAAAAACACATTGGTGTGAACTGAGCCTAACTGACAATTGCACGGTCATAAAACACTGTACATAAATAAAATGCATGTCTTTTTTTTATTTTATGTCAAATTTATGTCATTTTATGTCATTTGTTTCCCACAAATAGAGCTTTCTTTCGGTGATATTTAATCACTCTGCCTTTTTTATTTTTTGCGCTATAAACAAAAAAAGACCGACAATTTTGGAAAAAAAATTTTTTTTTTACTTTTCTGCAAAAAGCTTTTTGCGTTTCTGCAAAAAGCACTAAAAAACGCATTGGTGTGAATGGAGCCTAACTGACAATTGCACGGTCATGCAATGCTGTACATAAATAAAATGCATGTCTTTTTTTTATTTTATGTCAAATTTATGTCATTTTATGTCATTTGTTTCCCACAAATAGAGCTTTCTTTCTGTGATATTTAATCACTCTGCCTTTTTTATTTTTTGCGCTATAAACAAAAAAAGACAGACAATTTTGGAAACAAAAATATTTTTTTTACTTTTCTGCAAAAAGCTTTTTGCATTTCTGCAAAAAGCACTAAAAAACGCATTGGTGCCTAAATGGCAATTGTGCCGTCATGCAACGAAAGCTGTACATAAATAAAATGTATGTCTTTTTTCATTTTATGTAATTTTTTTCTCACAAATAGAGATTTCTTTCGGTGATATTTGAGCGCCTCTGCCTTTTTTATTTTATTATAACAAAAAAAGACTTACAATTTTGAAAAAAAAATATATTTTTTTTTACTTTGTATGTAAAACATATCTAGTAAAAAAAGTAAAAAATCAAATTTCTTAATAAATTTAGGCCAAAATGTATTCTGCTACATGTCTTTGATAAAAAAGACAAAACAAAAAATTGTATATTAACCACTTGCCCTCCAGAGGATTTAACATATTTGGTGATCAAAGGGTTAACTGTGTGCACTTTACATTGTGTGCTGTTTTGTTTATTTATTATTTCAGGTACTTATATAGTGCTTTCAATTTATGTAGCACTTTACATATATACTGTATTGTGCATTCACATTGGTCTCTAACCATCAAGCGGCGTACAATCTAAAGTCCCTGACTTACAGTCATACATATTAGGGACAATTAACCACACCAAACCCGACATGGAATTTGTGCGACTTACAGTGAAGTCGCACGATTTTCAAAGTCAGATGACATGCCGATTTCAAGTGCAGTTTGCAAGATATCTGACACAGACATCTATGCAAATTGCACCAAAAGTAGTACATGTACTACTTTAGAAATCAGTGCTGCTCCAACCAAGTAGGAACTGCACCGATATGTCTGCTGTAATTGCGGACAATAGGGTGCGACTTGGCATGTGATTTGTAAGTTGCATGGCATGCAAATCGTATGCCAATTCACAACCAGCATGACTGGGGACTTAGAGAGGAGCCAATTAACATACCAGCATATCTTTGAAGTGTGGGAGGAAACCAAAGTACTCAGAGGAAACCCACACAGGCACAGGGAGAAAATGCAAACTCCAGGCAGGTGGTGCTATGGTTGGGATTTGAACCAAGGACCTTATTACTGCCAGATAGAAGTGCTAACCATTTAGTCGCTGTTCTGCCCACTTTTTAAACTTTGTATTCCTATTTTTTGTAAACACTATACTTGTCTTCTATGAAAAATGTATCTCTTTCTGTGTCCATGCTGAGTTAAATTGGTAAGAAATAACTTGACCGTTGGAGACATGCTGCTTTGTATCTAGAGTTGCCACCTCATCCCTTTAAAACCAAACACATATGAATTACACAGGTTCTGAGGCTAATTTAACCACTTCAAGTCCGGACACTTTTACCCCCTTCCTGTCCAGGCCAATTTTCAGCTTTCAGTGCTATCACACTTTGAATGACAATTGCACGGTCATACAACACTGTACCCATATGAATTTTTTAGCATTTTTTTGAGACAGATAAAACTTTATTTTGGTGGTATTTATTCACCACTGGGATTTTTTATTTTTTTCTTGCTATATAAATGAAAAAGTCCCAAAATTTTGAAAAAAAGTGTTTTTCTTATAACATTTTTCATATTTATTCAGTTATCTTTTTTTTTTTTTAATATACTGTCACCCTAGCAGTACAATGTCACCATAATGACACTGTACTACTTGTGGGGGGTGATGAAGATTTTTTTTTTACACTGATTGCTTTTACCCCCATAAAAGCTGTAAAAGCTATAATTTCTCCATCTCTCTGGTTGCATTCTTGCAGCCATTGAGAAATACTGTGTGAGCTGTGATTGGTCACAGCTTGTCACATGGTACAAGCCTGTTGTAAATAGCCTGGTACCATGTGACCTCTGTGATCATTCACAGATTTCACATGTAGTAAGCAATGATGTCAAGAAGTGACATCTTCCTTACTACTATTCATGTGATCACTGATTGGCCAGTCAGTGATCACATGATCAGGACCTCACAAAGAGGTCCTGATCATGTGCCTGGAAGACACAGCGGGCACCGGATTGCGGTGCCACGTACTCCTAGGGAGCGCACACAAGCAGGAAAGTGGGAGGACGTTTATAAACGGCCACCCTCACCTGCACTGCTCCTGTCCGGACGTTTATGTACATGGGCCAGACGGGAAGTGGTTAATGCAGATAAGGAACTGAGTTTAATTACCAACTTAATCACGTGCCTACCGGGCACATTTACCCTCTTTTGTGCCCAGGCCAATTTTCAGCTTTCAATGCTGTTGCACTTTGAATGACATTTGCACGGTCATGCAACATTGTATCCATATGAAATTGTTATAATTTTTTTGCACATACATAGAGCTTTCTTTTGGTTTGGGTATTACTCACCACTGGGTGTTTTATTTTTTGTGCTATAAACAAAAAAAGAGCCAAAAATTTGGAAAAAAAAGTCTTTCTTTGTTTCTATTATACAATTTTGCAAACAGGTAATTTTTCTCCTTCACTGATGTGCGTTGATGAGGCTGCACTAATAGGCAGCACAGATGGGCACTGATAGGCAACACTGATGGGCACTGATGAGGTGGCATGGATAGGCTGCACTGATGGGTGCTGATAGGCTGCACTGATGAGGCGGCACTGGTGGACATTGATGAGGAGGCACTGATGATGCACTAATATGCAGCAATGATGGGCACAGATAGGCGGCACTGGCTGACA